ACATTTATAATAAGTATTAGTTTGGATAGAATGGATGAAAAATCTAAATACATTAATTCCAAAAAAGAAGATTGTCAATATTTTTTTTGTTTATGGTTAAGACTATTTTTTATTACAAATATTGCAACAAATCCTTTTCTTACAGACGAAAGTGCACGTACATCCAATCTTTGAAATACGACTAGGATTGTGGTAAGCAGAGCTGGACTATACCACATGAGCACAACCGTCTGTGACTTATTGAACGATCACACTGTCTTGGGAAATCCTCTCACTCTTAAGTACTACTAAAGGAGAAGAAATTACGAATTAGTCTGTGTTCCTCGAAGGGCACAAACTAAGGGTAGGTTCTAACAAGGCCCAAATCAAAGTATTGCTTATAGATAGGCGTGTTCCATCGCAAGGTTCATCATCGGTTACTATAACGAGAGACAGTGACCATTGCAAAAAAAAACAATAGAACATCACCTAAAACCTCCTAAAACTCACGGTTTTTGTTGATAACAAATTTAAATTTTAATTCTTGAGCTTAAGATCAATTTTAAAGACTATTTTTTTTAAATATTTTTTCAAACACTCAAAGTCCTCCCAGAGATTTTGTTTTAAGATATGTTTAGATTAATAACGTTTTATTTTTTTTTCATTAATTCCATTAATTCCGTATTTAAAAGAGTACATAATTAATTTAGTCTGTAAGTACCAGACTATTAAAAATTACTGTAGTTACCACGTGATTCGTTGACACTCTTTGTGTTGTAGGTATATCCGTGAGTGAAACGAAACGCTTCACTCGCGTCTCTTTTAATAGCCTTTTATTAGTTTTTATTCTGTCTGAAACGTCTAAATCGAGAATTCCCGTCGCAGTGATTTTTCAGTTAAATAACAATAGTTACTAGAGACTACAATAGTCCGTTTCTTGTATCGGATATTAATTAAAAAAAAGTTTTTTTTGCGCAAGCAGACAAATTAACTAATGGTATTAATCATCAGAGGCCTTTGGGGGCTAAGGATTTCTAATTTTAATAAGTATGAAGGCACCGGGGGGTTGGTACAAACATCAACATCCCGATCATCGTCTTCACAGTCCATCGCAGGGCGTAGGATTTTATAATCAGGCCGAATAAATTACAAAAATAACGGACGTCGGCGATCCGTCTCCTATATGACAGTCACAGCGCTCGCTCTCCACCATAATGCGCACGCAGAACTGCCAGTTTGACGTTCCGCCAGAGTACGATTTATGGTACCCTCGTCCGATGAATTGTGATAAAACCTCCTTCAAAATTCAATTTAAATAATCGTCGCTCCGACAAGTATTATAAAATAAATAATTCTATTGTCCTTTGTATTATTGTAACACATCCGTGTATGTTATTGGCCTTCTCCTGTCACAACGAAGCGATATTATGATTATATTTTTAACGTGTTCTGGATTTATACGTGATTTGGGGCGCTCTCCGGCTAGGTGGACTGACGATATGCGTGAGTTTGCTAAATATTGAGCTCAGTGGCGTGCAACTAGAGAGACCTGTATCTAGTGGACGGAAACTGGCTGATAAGGAAATTGTAGTGATCAAAGATCTTACAAAATATTTCCTATGTAGTAAACGTAGTAGTTAATACTAACGTAGCCTTAAAACTAAGCACAATTTTATTTAGTGTGACATACCATTCAATTCTAATAGGAAATAAAACTGACCATATTAACATTACAAAATACATACATTAATCAAGCCACCAAACAAGACTAGTTCACACACATTCGGGTAAATCACAAGCAAAAAGAAATATTGCATAAATATCACCGTTTCTATTGATATTTAGTGAAAATAACCGTTGCTACAATGACTAAGCTTTACTTTACTTTGCCCAATGACAGCCACAAATGTCACGGCCACCAAGTCTATGATCAAACGCATATTTTCAACAATAAAGTAAAACGGTCAATACGAATCAATGTAGCGATGATTTTGCATAATTTTATTGATCCAAATCGGCGTGGATCATTCGTCATTCGGTCAATAATGCGTATTAAAAGTTGTCATTTTTATCTAGTGATGTGTGTAAGTCGATATCGATAGTTGTGAATATTTTTTTCTGATTGTTGTAGGTAATTCGGTTGACTATGATGTAAAGATTTTTGTAGAGCATTAATGGTTCAAACTTAAGATAAGCGTTATAAAAAGTTTGTTTTTTGTTTTTACATTTCAAAATTTTCATCTTGTCATGGAAATAAACAATCAATGAAACGTACCAACCTAAAATAATTTAACATACAATTTGTTTTTTATCGAAACTACGTAAGAAATAATTAGTTTATCACATTTCTTTATATTTATAATTAATAAATGCACAGTCATTCATTGCGGACAACATCCTTTACAACGATCCAATTCAGTTATCGACAAATTCTCGCTTCACCCACGCGTTCCCCCCTCCTAGCGTAGTGTTGTGCAAATCTCAGTGTTGACCGATGGTGCGTGGCAAATGAGTCGATCAATCATTGCCTCTAGACTATTGTGATGCACCTACCAGGTGCGAAACCTCATTGCAAGCTTACCAATGTATGTAGCCAACCCGCAAATCAAGATATACGTTCCTTTTATTTATTTACGACCTTATTTCTTTAGCCTTAATGTCGGAAATGGTATCAAGATTATTTAACGTTTAGAGTAGGTGGGTGTGCTAGTGTCTACCCCTATTGATAATAAGGTTTTTTAAGTATTTTTGTTAACACGTGCGAGCTTGTAAGAATTGTGAAATCGATTTGTTCTTGGTATAGGCTGGGTTAGTTGATTCAGTAATATGTAGATACAACTGCTGAACGTAATTTCCTGAGTTTATTCCCCTGGTTAATAGTATTTCGATATAACGAGTCACAAATCATACTTATGCGATCTGACTGCGATCCCACCTAATAGTAAGCAGTGATGCAATCGTTGATGGTAAGGCGCACTAGTTTATTAAAAGCCTATTCACTCTAGCCTTGAAGACACCTAAATTGTTTTCGGATGATTGTTTAGAAAATATTTCAGTGTTTATTCAGGTGCATATTCTTTGTTTGATGCCTTCTCATACTAAAAACTGTTTTACTGCTTTGATCAGTCTTAAAATATGTTTTATGAACCACAGATATACTCGGCAGGTATTGACATAATTTATCTTCACTTCCATTTTATAGACCTGAGTCATTCAGCCTTGTCCTTTTATAAAATAAAATACTCAAAATTATTGCAAGCTCAAATAAAATATACCTAAATTCGAATGTTGTCTGATAAATCACTAAAATGTATAGGCACACAAAAAAACAAAATCGAACACCTTTTTAAAATTCGAAAACACATCCACAAACAACCCTAAAAAAACAACACGCAAAAGTTTAAGCACCCTATCGAACCGAAAATGTCCAAAGGTAAAAGAAACAAGCTTCTTAACTTTCAAATCAAACAGTCGCATCCTGTACATTGTTGACCAAACTTCACATGACCCAAATCACAGCTAACACGGGATGTTTATAACCAATAAAAATCACCCACAAGTCCGGCCCGGATATCAACTTTTCTCACCCTAAAAATTTAACAATACCAACTTTTCTTCCAAAGAAAGACAATCGAGAATAACCCATATGTGTACAGGATTAAAGTTCTTTACAACAGCATGTTTATATTGGTTTTATTCATCTCAATTTCAAGTGATTTGCTCCATATGTCGAGAACAAGTGAACTGGCTTCTTAACGCGCTGGACACCCCAAATTGAGGGTATTTCGAGGGGAAATTGTCGGGTTTATTGGAATTTCCTATGGGTTTTCACACGTGGTGAGTGCCTTAGGGGCAGGGATTATGATCGGCAGTCAAAATATGTTTGGGTTCAACACCTCGGATGAGTGATGCGGAAATTTAAAGAAATTGACTTTATGGGATCCTACTGAATAAAATCAAGACGTTTATAGGTGACGACATTATTCGAGTCGTAGGTAGTACAATTTTCGGCATACAGTCATGAATTATTTTTTGTTTCCTTATTTGGACTAATGCGTTGCGGTGTATTGACTGATTTGTATAGGTATTGCAAACTATTCTAAGAGTCTAGAATTAAAATCCCATATTTGACAATGAGCTCATTGAAAAGACTCCTTGCTCAGTTCTATACATATTTTAAGGACTTGTAACATTACTGATAAAAGAATAGTTTATCTATAACTTTACTTACCTTCGTGAATGAAATCTTCAATGTAAATACTGATATGAAAAATGTAGATCACTAAAACTATAAAGCTAATCTCAGATTGAAACATTTTTCTTCGCACAAAAAATATTTGGCGTAACATTATAGCATCAATAATTCATTTCAACCTCACATCAGCACCCCCTAGCGGGCGGAAGCGGCTCAATTGGGCGGAAAGGCGGCTTGACCGCAGAGGTCGAGTGACCCTTCCCTTGCGCCTTTCAATCATAAGACCTTTTATAAGGGCGGCCTTTGAGGAGCTCCTTTGAAGAATTTGGAGAACTTTTGTACAATTATGTGGTTCTCAGAATTGGCTCGTGTAGGTTACAGGTCGGGTGTGTATCTTTGAAACTTAATTAATCCCGTTTTGTGAAGTTACAATTAACTCTTGGGAGAAACCAGGGCAATTGGGGCCTATTCCAGCTTATAATTGTGTAATTGATCCAATTTCAAATGAAACAAAGAAAAATGAGCAATAAATTTTAATACAGACGTCACAAAATACCATTCTCTACAAAAAAAAACATCATAATTATAAATCCACCACAAATTTTCAACGTCACCTCACATGACTGCATGCTTCATGCTTCTTTGTCTTTGTCACCTTACAATTTCTTGAACTACGCCCGAACCATGGGGCCATCGGTTTTGGTATCCAACACGTTGAAGAAGGAACTCATTGTGATGAGTTCCTTTGAATATGGAAAATGGCGAGAGCAGTTTGCATTCAAGTTCTTGCTAGTGTATCTCATGCCTCATGGAAGGACGTCTTAGCTTACACAAAGGACACCTTGACTACTGTCTGCAGCACTAACAACACGGTGACAAAGAACAGTATTGTTGGCGGTATCGACTTGCCTGTCTTGCCAGCGGAGGCGGTCAGCGTGTGGGGCGCTATCACGGGCATCGCAAATGCCTGGTTGTTACATCGGTTCAACTGAAAACAAACAGATATGCATATTAGAAAAACCTTCCTATAAAAAATAAAGTCAACAACTACGAATTTATTCTTTAAATCAATAGATTTTTTCAATAATAATTGGTCTTAAATTATCAAAAATCCTAAAGCACACAGCTTTATCAAGCAATAACTAATCGAGATCGAGAAAACAGATTTCAAATTAGGCCAGTAAAAAAACATTTATATCACATATACTTTAGTTAATCAGAAAATTATGGTATACCTCGCAGCAAGTGGTCTCCGGTGAGCCAACACAGCCAGAGCGGCATCCTCGTACCACGGCCTCGTACGAGTTGCCCTTCGATATTACAGAAGTAAAACATTTGTCGTCCACACTATGACATGTGATCGTGTGCACTCTGAAAAAAACAAAAACTTAACTGAGTTGCAAACAACAGAAATAGGATTCGCAGGCTAGGAATCAGCACTACCTTTCTCCGAAGCGGTTAAAGTTCGGATGTCTCTTACTGAAGACAACAGGAGTGAGCTTAGGCCTGAGAAATTTTCAATTTCATTGGTATATTTAAGAAATAAAGAGTTCTAAATTGATTTTGCTGTCAAACAAAAATACTTTTATTTTATCTGTAAATATACAATGATTAGAAGCCTGCATAATGGAAATTCATAGGAAATTTTTGTCTATTTAGATGAAATCTTAATTCTTATCAATGACAACCTGACGCTGAACACATTAGGTCTCTTGCTATTTAAAAGTCAACACATTCGTCACGACATTTGTCAATTACACCTTACTATTACAAGAGATTATAAAGATTTGGAATACATCAAATTTTCTGGGACTTACAAAATTGACATAGTTTGAAAAAAATACTAAGTATCAATCGTGTTCAGTTAGGAAACGACAAATACCTGTATTTAGTTGGGTCCAAGCACGCTCTTAGAGGCGTCTCGGCTTTGTAAGCGCACACATAGCATTCGAGAGGCCGTTTTTTTATAGTTCTAGTGACAGTCAGTGCTTTAGGTGTTGGTACTATAGGTGGCGGTCGCCGTACCACTGTCACCCTCTCTCCTTTATCTGCTGCAGGTGCAGTATCATCCTCTTCATCGTCTTCCTCATCATCATCTTCCTCATCACCTTCTTCATTTCTACTGCTTGAAGTCGAACTTTTTAAACTTTTATTGAAATATCATTTTTATTGGGGTAATTGTTGAATATGGAAGGTAAGGAGTTAAAGCGTTATATTTCTTACAGTCAGTTTCAGTTTCATTAATAGTCTACGGGGTACATTGAAATATGGAAAAGTTGTCCGTCAATTTTTATCAAGAGCTTGAGGGGGGCGATTTGTGAAACTGGCCGTAAGTCAGTCGAGTTACGACTACGATATGAAATCTAATTGTCAATAAAAGCAACAATATCATAAGCAATTAAAGCTACAAAGCTACGCTACTGCCGATGGATCGGATAAAAAACGGCTTTCAATATTTTTTTCGTCTGTTGTAGACTATGTCAATGTGACAGCGATACGATCAGTCTGTCTATTCAAATCGGATGCCATTATCCATATTATCATGATAGTAACTTTTCATGGATTTTCTAAGGTCTAGGGACAGAATATAATACTTACTCTTCATCGAATTCTTCAGATTTCACTGGTAGAAGGAGCAGCATTGCCAGCGCAATGCAATACCTCCACCGAACCATTTCACCACCAAAATATCACCGGCCGGCCTAAACTAAATATCCACTAAACTCCTACACATTGGATTTGTCATTTTCCTTTTTTTAATTACCAAAAAATAATATATTATTGTGAGATGTGAAGCGACCAAGAATTTTGTAATGACAGCTCACGATCAGATTTTCGTGTTTGGAATTTTTTCTTTGTTTTTTTCTGGCGGTTTTTTGAAGTTTCTTGATTTGCCTCTTTACGTTTCCATAGATTTATACCAGCCGTGGTAAATACTAAAGAGTGAAATAATATGAAAGAGGATGGTCACAAAAATTAAAATGTTTTAAATTTTAATCTCAGTTTTAATAAAAGTAATTAAATATGATATCAACCTAAATAGAAAAAGAACAATGGGACTATAAATTAAATCACCAATTGAAATTCTTTAATTCTCATGATAGTGAAATTACAAAATCATGTGTGAAAATACAAAAAAAAACCTTTTTAAACTACAATTATTTCTACACCAAATCGCCACAGCGTTCACATTTCCCCTAAAATAACAGAATTAACTCAATCGTGCCATCTGTTGTCAAAAAGTTGAACTAGCTACTCGCGGAAAGATGGCGCTGTACTAAATTACGAAACTTACAACGCTGTAGAAAAAAATATTTTATTTTTATTAATGAAATTGTAACATCAAAAAAATATTTTTCTTTGCATTAAATTATGTCAATACATTTTTTATCCTTGATCAGTAGTTTCATTAATAGAACACTGGCAATAAATAAATCCGAACGCTTAGAACAAGCAAATTATTTTACATATTCTAATTACAATATTTTATTGAATTATAACTTAAAGATGGAGACTTCCTTGTCTCTTTTCGTAACATTGCTTATACACATGTATTGTTGTCTTCTTTCTTACGAGTCCAGACCACTCCGTTATCTAATTCAGACCTAATCTGTAAGAACTTAACCTTTCTTTAAATTTTACTTTTTTTATTAGCCTGAAAATTTGTCGGACACTATTAAGTCTTGTTATTATTGCGATATAATTTGTGGTTTCCTACTCAAGCTTTTTTGTGAGTGGGAATATCATCAAAAGGTTTCTCTCGCCCAGGGTAGTTCTTCTGAGAGATCTCTCAGAAGCACTGAAGTAGGAACGGGATTATTTGTTGAAAGAAAGGTCTACTTCCAGCCGTCTCTTGTTCTTTATTCTCTAACTAGCGCTGTTTCAACCGCTGCTCTATTTGATCGTAGCGTGATGTTTTATAGCCTACTAGCGGCCCACCCCCGCTTCGCACGGGTCCAACTATCTCGCTATCAAAGGATCCCTTTTTCCTAATCTTCCCCTCTACTTTTCTAATATTTACCTTCTCCTGACAATAACAAACATAACAAAAAAAGAATTAGCAAAATTGGTCCAGGCGTTGTTGAGTTATGCGCTTACCAACACATTTTGCGATCCATTTTTATATATAAGATAGCTCTCAGGAACATTGTAGTTAAAATTCTTTCACTGATAGATATCAGTGAAAGAATTTTTGCCATCCGACCAGCGGTTCCAAAGATTATGCCCTACATAAAAACTTACAAACATACAAACTTACAAATTTTACCTCTTTATAATATTAGTATAGACTAGCAGACCCAGCCACGCGTTGCTGTGGCTAAGGTTCTTGTCATATTACATATGGACAAATAATTTGCAATAAAATAATATTGTGACTATAAATTGAGATGTGAGCTATCCTATCTTTCAAGTTAGGTCAAAATACGCACACGGAATTCAAATCAAATTTAAAATCGGATTAGTAATTTAGGAGTTCATTGCGGACCAACACATGACACGAAATTTTTATATATAAGAAGATTTTCATTTTTGTCATAATGATTTGGACATTTATTTTGAATTTATTAGATACTCCTTTCTTCCACCTCCATGCTTCACCTTAATATTTTAGACATTACTGCACTATTCTATGGCTGTTAGAAAATACTACCAAGCTTTCAGTTCGTCAACGTATGCTGTGTACTATAGTAGACAAAATGATCATTTGCATTTCTACTGCTTTCTTTTTTTTATATTATTTACCGACTTCCAAAGAAGAAAATGGTTCTTCAATTGAGTTGTAAATGTAGCCTGAGTTTTAAATTTTCATGACGCAATGTGCAGTTATTATAATTAGGAATACTATTACTTTATTTTTTTATACAACTGACAATTTAGACAACAACGGAGAAAAATATACTAAAGAAACTAGAAAATATTTAAATTACGAACACGAAATCTTTAAGAACATGAAAAAAATAACATGATTACCTACTACTGATATTTTTTTAATATTATTAGTCACCTATGTATATTAATTTAGAACATGAGGTAGACATGTCTTTTTTAACAGAATCAAATATATACCTACTTTCGACTATTATAAATACATTGCTTTGAAATATCGTATGACGTCACGATTTAGTACTTACATTTTATATTGATCGGTGATGTAGATAGCTTGCAATAATTCTAAAATCAAATTCTTATAAAAAAGCGTAGCTTTCTATAAAAAAAAGTATCTGTTCTTTTTTTAATTTGTAATAGATCGAACTTTTAGGATTTGAAATTTGCTATTCTTTTGTCAATGGTTTCAATTCCGTATGAGAAGAGTTCTTTCCCCATCCCCAGCAGAAAAATAGTCTATAGGACCTTAATGAAACGATTTTACGTAGTCTAGTATCTATTGCAAACATTCGGTTTTAATTACCTACCTAATGCGTAGACTATGCGTCCTACATTTTCTATAAGTATACCTATTCACTGGTCAGATTGGTCAGTGTTTTGTATTATCTGTGTCACAAGTTTTACCGTTGCCTTCAATATTATTTTTCATTGCATTATAAACCAATTTAAAGTGATACCTATTTTCATGATACTCATCTTTTGATCATCCGAAGACCGAAAGAGTATACTTACATTAACAAAAACATTAAGATTTTAAAACAGTACAATATAATAAAATTAAATACAGTAGGCTTTAAAGCAATAGCGCTAGTAGCAATAAAATAATATCGCTAGTAGTGATCTCAAGCTTTTCTTCGGTCACCAACGTCGGGTTCAAAGAATTGTTTTGCAACTATAAACGCACGTTGTATCAAATGCAAATATAGTTGTCTACCTCAATGTAACCATGAAAGAAATCAGGTATCTCTCGGTTCCAGCATGGCGGCAGGCACAAGCGTCCCGTCCTAATAACCTTTCCATCTACGGTACGCCATGAATAAGTGAACAGCAAGCCTTAATGTAACTCTTTCATGAACGCACACACGTGCGGCCTCCCTTTGCGTGGTGCACGCTGCAGCTCTGAGCTTATCGGCCGCACAAAGCACCGCGCCGGGCAACCGCAATCCCCCACCGAGCCCCGAATACACGACCTCATTAAAAAATGAAACCTCACAAACATGCCATAAGCCCACAAAAACCCCCCAAGACTCGTCAAAGCGAAAAACGCTACCTACCGGAGAGTAGCGGAACTACGCCACTCGCGGAACCAACCTCTGTACTTTTTTAATTAGCCTCATACACTGAGTGAATGCGTGAAATACGTTAGATTTTTTTTTCTCATACGCGGTTAGTTTGGTAGCTTTGAGTAAAGTATGTTAATTCACAAGTAGCCTGCTCTCGGTGCTTTTTGAACTGTTTAAAAAAAGGGTTCTGTGGATAAGGCTTATTTGATAACTTTGAGCTATGAGAGGTTAATTAGCGAGAGAGAGAATTATGTGGTGTACACTACAAGTGTGATTACTACGAAGGTATTGGGTGGTTGTCTAAGGCGGGCAGGCGACGCGATGAAGCGAGCGAGGAGCGTCGCGGAGCTCGGGAAAGTCTGAAACTTCTTTTATCTCAGTCTAGGTTCGCTCAAAAAGTGCAAACTCTGTACAAAGTTCACTTTCGCCTTGTGAACTAATTTTTCGCTCGGTGTCAAGTTCATGGCTGGGAGGCGGGGCGCTGGCGTGGGCCGCGGGGTGCGGGGCGCGCTATGATAAAATAAAATATTCATTATGATTGCTCAACGCGGCAATGTTCGCGAGAGCACGGGTACTCCTGCAGGAGCGTCTTGGCCACTGAAGAAGTTTCTTTTTATTTTGTTATTTAGAGTGTTTTTTCTGTACTGTAACTTATTGCTTTCTCACCGAATCCGGAAACTTTTTCTTTATTTAAAATCATTTTGGTAATGAGTCGTAGTTTCTTATAAGAATTATTTAGTCTTAATCTTATAAGAAAACCAACTGACAATAGGTACTCATAATTAGAATAACACATATTTGAACGTTCTTGTACAAAATCTTTTCGAAATAATTAAAAATAACACAATAAAATAATGTACTGCACAACAAATACCTAAATTTTTTGGGGAATATATGAATAACAACTAAGTATTTTCTCAACACACATTTAAAGAACGCAAAATCAACATACATATGTCAAGATCTGTGCCAGATTAAGCTCAACTAACAAATGGCCAATACAAATTTCACGAACAATCTAAAAACGACTTCAAAACTGACGTAAAAATCGTCCCGGACCTGCCTCAAATGAAAGTAGATCGCGTCTGGGTGACTGGCCGAGTTTTTCTCCCGTTTTTCCCTTAATTAGTCAGTTAATCCGAGGGGGGGAGACTCATTAACGTTCGACACTCGATTCTTAGTCCCTAACACTTGTTGAGTCCCGTTTTTATGATAAATACAATCCACGGATACAAGAATGAATAAATTTTTTCTTCGAACATTTTTTGTTAAGAGACTTTTTGAATTTGTTTATGAGATTGTGGTAGTTACTTTAAATCTGTTTCGTTGTTTTATTGTAATTTGTGATGTTGATTGTGTTCGAGTTTGTGTTAAACGATATTTCTTGTTTTAGTTTAAGATAGTTTTTTAAGTTATTCAGGCGCATTTTGCTTGTGAATGAGAGAGCTCAAAAAAATGTTTGTGTGTCTTTTAAAGATTTTGTTTAGAATATAATAGGTATGTTA